ATAATATGTAATATGATTACACGCAATAAATGTTATCATAGTAGGATAATGAAAAAAAATCTACACTATTTTACTGTAGCAAAAGTTAACATTTTGGAAAAGTAGTGTAAATAATTAAACTTATACCGAACTGAAACTTTCAATAGGAAGAGATAGCAAAAGGATGTCATGCGGTTCATGATTTTGACCATTTAAATCCAAAGTAGAGACAGCTGTTCAGAGGATTTGTCCTGTGAACAAAACCAAATCATGAGTGCCAGTGGAAGACATCCTGAAATAACACCAATGTGGTAGCGGGAGGCATTCTGCTCATAACTAGGGGAGCGACCTCATTTTCCGAATAAAAGCCAGTTTACATAACGCCTCGGTCTCCATGACGGGGAGCACTGGGCAGCAGCTGTCAGGCTCGCAGCTTTCACTCAACTGCAAGAGTTGCCTGAAAAATAATACCACCCTGTACAAATAGACCTGCTCTGTGTGTTTCCAGTCTCATGTTATCACAAAAAAATCCTAAATTTATGCGTTTGCATTCTTGCAGCCTCAACTATTTATTGGCCAAACTATTTTACTTAGAGAACTAAGCAATAAGAAGTTTTTATTAGGGATGCATGATATTGGATTTTTGGCCGATATCCGATATGCCAATATGTTAAACTTATTTGGCAGACCACTGATACCAATACAGATTTTTTTTTCCTAGACCTACTTACAGAGACTACATAGCTTTTGCTGCTGTGGAATTAAAATAGTACATTATTCTGCTTTGTTAATTTGACCTGCTACCAAATGCAGATGCCAAAAAGGGGCTGAAAATGACATATCACTTCAACTTGGATTATGTTTATTGTCAAATTTATTCATGACATTTACTCTCTCTAACACAATAACAACACTCGAACAGTGCAAATTTGTAAATTTTCACAAATCTAAACTCAAACTGTTCGCAAGTGACAAGTGAAAAGTGCATAAGTAGCAGTGCATTAATAGATGTACTTGACAGTTTCTTCAATTAAAAATATGGTTAAAACAGAGCCTTTTATATTGGTGAGTTATTTTGATAGAATGTCCGATGTCCGATATTTAACTTTATTTAGCTAATATCGGCCAATACCATGCCAATAATATTGTGCATCCCTAATTTTTATTATTATTATTAATTATTTTTAGTTCTGAAAAAGTTGCAGTCAACCTGAAGCAGAAGAGGAAGACTGTTCAAGTCATCAGAATGTGATTCCCTATGCCGGATGGGGCAACAAACTTTGCAGACCTCTGGATTTTCTGTTTTCTTTGGCAACACATCTCTGGGCCAAACAAACCATTGGTAACACACACTCAAGCCTTCATTGTGACACAGAGTGATTTAGGATAAGAAAATATAATGTGAAAAATGACACACGTCTTGCCTAAATCGCTGGCTGAAAATTCTCAGTTTTATTCTTAACTATTATTTTTATATTAAGTTTTGTGTCAGGGATAATGTGGTTAATACTTCTTGATACAGCTCTTTGCTTTATGTTTCACTACAGACAACACCCTCTCAGTATTGTCAAAATCAGCCGAGTATTAAGCTGTGGTGGTACAGAAACACACTCTCTAGATCTGTGTGTGAATTAATTAGTCTACATTACGTATATATAGATCAAGGTTCTTTATTGTGATTATTATTATTATTGTTGCATGTGCTGGAACGGAATTGTGTACACAGGGTCCCAGTTACATCCAACAAAAGCATCAATTGTAAAAGAAAAACAGTAATAAGGTCTAAGATAAGAACTAAGGAATATGCTAAGAATACGCTAAACACTTAATAGTGCAAAAACAGTAATACGCCGAACATCAGCAGCACGACATATAGCGTATAGAAGCAGACACTTATCTAAAGCAACACATAATTGAGGAATGTAAAGAAATAAAAAGTGTTTTATACCCTGAACGAGTCTGCAACAGGCTTTTATGGGGGAAGAATTTTAAATCCTCCAGAGGTGATGACAGTAACAGAAAGCTGCATAGTGTTTTAGCCATGCACACCATATGCAATCTATAATATCCTTTACTATCAGTTACACAACACAATGAGGTTAAAAAAGTACCAAACTGTAACATATGTGATGGAAAAATACCATAAGTAAAACAGATCCCTGGCTAAGGATTCAGTAATTGGTGACTGGGCAGTTGTGTAAAAGATTCAGCATATATGGAAGGTAAATTGATTTAGGAAAATCCCAAGAGAAACTTAAATAACTAGAATGGGGTTCAGCTTTGGAGCCTGTTTGGAGACTTTGCTAGTTTTTGAGTTATTGTTGGCAGTTTAATGAGCAGCTGAAATACAAACCAGAGGACCTATGAGGGTGTTTTTGAAATACACCAATGAGTTCTTAAATCTATTGCTAGATTCATTTCAACACTTTTGCTGTCACGTATGGACTTTCTTTAGTAAGGCAAAAAAAATTTGAATAATTTGTCTTCATATTTTTTAAGTATCAATTAATTACACATGATTTAATGTGCACCTGCTTCTTTGTTGATTTTTCCATCATTTCATCAATGGTCACTGAAGTTGATTAAAGGAAATATTATAACAAGAGTTACATATTGCATGATATAAAATCAGGGCAGCACGGTGGTGCAACTGGTAGAGCTGCTGCCTCTCAGCGAGCAGGTCCCTGGTTCAAACCCCGGTCCAGGGGCCTTTCTGGGTGGAGTTTGCATGTTCTCTCCGTGCATGCGTGGGTTTTCTCCGGGTGCTCCGGTTTCCTCCCACAGACCAAAAACATGCATGTTAGGCTGATTGGTAACTCTAAATTGTCCCTAGGTGTGAGTGAGAGAGTGAATGGTTGTTTGTCTTGTGTGTCTCTATGTGGCCCTGTGATGGACTTGCGACCCGTCCAGGGTGTACCCCGCCCCTCGCACGGTGATTGCTGGACATGGGCACCAGCGACCCCCGTGACCCAAACTGGAATAAACGGGTAAAGATAATGGATGGATGGATGGATGATATAAAATCTCAAATTCCCTTAAGTTTTCTATATAGAGATTATTTAATTCCAATGCAGTGCAGCATCTAGCTTCCAGGAAACATTCCATTAGTACACGTCTTTTACACACCTCCTGAGGCCAGTCATGTGTCACAAAGCAAGTCAAAGTATTATAATTTTCACATATGCTCCTCATTAGCATTCCATCCAGAGACACTGAGGGCTGAGGCTGCACTGCTGCTCATCAAGGAAAAGCTACCAGACCAGAGAAAACGTTAAGCACTCGAGCCCAACAATAAAAAAATAAAAATAAAAAAACTCCTTGTAAAAATTCCACAATTCAATGGGCACATGTCATGGTGTTCCTGTATAAAATTTGAACACAGGCTGCAGGTTCAACCATAAAGTTTGACTTCCAAGGTGCTAAACAGCATCACAATGGCACCTCAGCAGTTCCAGTATTTCAGTAACTTCACTGAAGTACACACATTTACTCCACTTTACCTATACAGTAATTTATGTATATTTATCAACAAAACATTTGCAACTCTAAATACAATTTTAGACTATATTTACTACATATATTGAGAGGAGTACAACAATGCTGTTTTTTTTTAGACTGTGTTCTGTATCTTATAGCTTCTGTTCTATATGTTTTAGCTTGTGTCTTGCTTCTTTTTGCTTGACAAACAAATTCAACATTTCTCATTCTTGAACAAATTTCCAAAAGATCATTCAGCACTCAGCTTCACACTGCCTTTTCAAAGAAACACATTTTCTTTAATTACGAGAAACACCTTCTATATCTCTGGGCAATTAAAAAAACGGTCTCCTAAATCTTTTACCAATACTATAAATACCGATAACACATCTTAAGGTGCTTTTGATTATGAGGTTAAATTTGGAGTTGATGTTACTTCTTTGGGACATCCCGGCTGCAATTTACCATATTTTTTGGACTATAAGGCGCACTTAAAATCCTTTAATTTTCTCAAAAATCGACAGTGAGCCTTATAATCCGGTGCGCCTTAAAGTCAGAAAAATACGATAAGTCTTATTTGTCTTGTAGTGTTTGACCAAAAACAACTATCTTAACAGATAGATACATTTTATTTAAATGTATCAGGTTTCTGTTTTTTATGACAGACACAAAGGCTGGTGAAACTTGAACAAAATGAAAAAATTTATAAGGAATCCAAAAGGTACAAGGCAGCACAAAACTAACTTTTCAAAAGCACAAGAGCAAAACAAAACCAGAGCCTAATGGCAATAACCAGAGACACAAAAAGCAAACAGAAAAACAGGAAGATCTGACAGTGAGTGAAGATGAACTGTATTCATAAATATAAAGTGTATTTATGCAAGGAGGAGTGATTACTGAGTGAGAACAGCTGAGACCCATCCATCCATTTAAAATGGCAGGCAGAAAAATGGAACTGTCTGGGTTTTCTTTAGCAACATTTAAGACGATATTGCACTTTTTGGTATTTGATCACAGTTCTGGATTCTGGAAAACTTACTATTAATGAGCTAACACACATAAGATCATCGGATCTGGAAACATTTATTAAGTTTACTTTTTTTATTTCCTTGAAGGAATCTTCCCAAGGGATCAATACATTATCATTTTTGTTATTGGGCAATGCATTGGCAGTTAAAATGCCCACAAGTACACGTTTAGAAACACACACATACGCACACACACACACACACATGCACACGCATGTATGACTAGAGGACAGAGGACAGCCTGTTTAACAAGTGGGTCACACCAGGTCCAGCAAGAGCAAAAGTGCAACAGAAGAAAAGAAAAGTGAGGACCAGCTGAAACTGAATATTGTTTTAATGCCATCACTGCCTTAAATAAATAACATAAAAAGGATTAGCATACTTTGTAATGCAGAAAATAAAGTCATTACACAATCTAAAACAACACATGGCCGCTAAAAGGAAAACATGCTGTATGTTTGAGTTGTTAACATTTGAAGTCCATATTATATCATAAATGTGAGTTATTAGGCTCACCTGAGGGCAGTCTTTGATGTAATGACCCTTGTTGAAGCACAGATGGCACAAGTAGTTGGGCGGGGGTCGTTTGTTGGGTTTCCTTGGCTCTGAAGAAAGGGAAAGGTCTGAGAAATGGTCCGTAAGGGAGTTGAGTCCATCCACGATGTTGCTCAGGGAGCCGTAGGGCGATACATTCTTATACACATTGTTGTTCAAGGCCTACAAAACAACATTAAAACAAGAGTTCAGTTTCTACAGAACATTCGGATACTTGGAACTTACCCTGTAAACTGTTTTTAATGAGTCAACCACCTTATTTATGGGCTTTAAGTTCAACTTCATAATGTGAGAAGGGGCAAAAATGTGGCCAGAACCTTCCAAGTTCATTTCTCATTTAATGCAGAACATCTGGCAAAAGGCCCAGCTGTGCTTATGAAGTGGAAAAGTACTGAGCTTGTTCGCAGAGAAAGACATGACTCTACAAAGGATGACTCACTGTAAACAAGATGGGAGGCATGTTCCCTCACCAGCCTGTGGAACATCAGCAGTGTCACCATGCTCTGTTGGCAGTAAACTAGCTGTGGTCAGCTTGTAGTCTGTGTTGCATGCAACAAGGCCCTCTGAATTCAGAGAATCTCCTTTGAATATTAATAACAGAGGAAGCATTGCCTGCAGTTCCTAATTTCCCGTCTCAATCTCGTCTTCCTCAATTCACTTGCAACAAAGAAATATCAGATGGGATGGCCTCTGGGAGACATTATGATGATTTGAGAAGATAATTTCTTATTTCATATAATCAGTCTTGAGGAAAAGCTACAGCAAAACAGTCTTTGTAGTCATCTGCCTTACACTGTAATGGTTTAACTGCACTTATAGTAAATGTTTGAAATGCTACTTTTAAGAGAAAACATTTCTAAGAGTGTAAGTGTCATAAAATGTATATTTCAGCTCTTCCTTCACTCAAAGGTTTTGGGTTTAGTCTGAAATGTAATGTTCCTGTAGATTTTTAATGTTGCACAGCACAGAAACCTTAGACCTGGCAACTGTGTTAGGACTCGGCGCCAACTCTTTATCAGGAGGCTGTAAGATCATCTTGCTAAACAGCTCCAGCTTTAAGACTTGTGTTCATTTATTACATGCAGTCACAGTAAATCAAGCACCACAGCTCTGAATGCGCTCAGTTTCCCATCTGACATGTTTCAGCTCTCTGTATTTCAGAAACGTGTTTTTTTCTGACTTCTAAAATTGTACATGTAGGTTCAGATTGTGAAATTATTTTAACAAATGTAAAACAGAAAACTTTCTTATGTTCGTCATATTTTTTCCCCCCGCTTTGGCTTCAGACCTCAACCTGTCAGCTTCAATGAAAGAGATTTCACACACATCTGCTAACGGCGCAGTGGGACTGTTTGTTTATTCAGTGTATTTGTGCGTTGGAGTGAGTGAGTGATGGTGAGATAGTCCTCAAGAGGTCTTGTGTTGATGTAACCCAGTATGTGACATTAAACCAAGTCATTGCTAGTCACCGTGTGCTGAAGTGATGTGAACAAGTCGGGCACATCTGTGACTGTTTAAACAGATCCAGGGGAGAGCTGTCATACGCTGAGGAGGTTAGTCAAACACTGATTTTATTTAAAGCCTGATTCTGCTGTCTGGTGGATCCCCATAATATTCTGCAGAATCTGCCTCAAATTGAAAGAACTATATGAACAGATTTATCCAGAATGGTCATAAATACTGTAATCTGATTGATCAGTCAGCTCATTAATTAGGTTGACTTTTGCCCCTTTGTAATATTCATCATTGGTCAGGGCCTATAGCTGAGCATACCAAGTGTATTAAAAAAAAGGCACCTCAATGTTGGTACACTTAACATTTTGCCCATTGAAACAGAAATACACTGGAATGGTCAACCACAGTGTAAGCTTTGTTAATGAGATGAGACTTCGTGCCGCCATCTTGCTAGGTGCTACTTGGCATTTTGTTATTGCTGGCGTGGCAGCAGATCATGGATATCAGAAGGGCCTAAGTGTCGCCTTTACTTGTTAAAACTCAAACTTTAAATGACATGGTATTGCATTTACCTTATTTTTTTAATGAAAATAGTTTATATGCTGTAATATAACAGCAACAGTCGCTTTCAATAGATTAGACTGCTTTAATTACTATAAAGCAGGGTACAGAGAGTAGGCATAGCATCTAAATAAAAATATATCAGCAATAGTGATAGTTTTTTTTAAATAATAGCCATTCTATAAACCAGTTTTAACTATTTTGTGGGTAAAATCTATATGCGGATTAGTGAATACCTGTATATGCTAGACAAAAGCTCTGTTATCCTTGTCTAAATACTAAAGTGCATGCTGTACAAGGCCTAAATATTTACTCATGAGAAAAAGACTGCAGACAGTGGTAGTAGAGCTCTGATTAAAAAAGGACATATGTCATGTACTTAATTATTTGAAATGCAGTCATGTACTGCTCTGGTTTGAATGATTAAAGTTGAAAAATGTATTATTGTAGCAGTACCCCGTCAGGACAGAAGTTTGTGGCTGCTACTTCTTAATCAATCCATTGGTTGAGACAAACTATTTCTACTACTGATTATCAAACGCCCTTCGAGAAACATTTGCCCACATGTCTTCAATCACTGTTTTCTTTTTAAAATATGGTTCACTGTAATGTTAAAAAGTCATACTAATAAGTAAAAATCAAGCAAACAAACAAATAGACTTCATAAATCTATCAAGGAATACTCTGATTTCTACAAATCAGCACAGGCTGTTGAAAAAAAAAATCAGTGAAACTATAGTAAAAAATATTCAAAAGTACTATTTAAAGTAAATGATAGATCACCATTCCATCCTAATTCAACTGTTGCGTAATCCCTGCTGAAATGACCACATTTTACACTTTTCATCAAATCTCTGCAGTGGATTATTTTACTTGACTTTCTGTGTGGAGTAAGTTGAAAATGCACCCACCAGACTTCATGTGTGTTCTCACATTTGAAACACTTGAAACTCATATGGACTGAATGGAACTGCATGATTGTGTGTAATACATAATGTGAAAACTATTTCCAGCTGACCCGTTAGGTTTAATGACTTAAAAAGCTCTCTCTGGTTCCCGCCACCATTATGAACACCAGCATCCATCTATCCGCCACTAGTGGGTCCAAAATGTGAGCTAATGCATACTACCACGCAGTATGTCATTTTTCATGTGTTGTATCAGGGGTGATTCTAGAATCTGCCCTTTAGGGGTGCTTAGCCCCCAGTGTTGACAATGGCTCTTGGCTTCAACAATGTGGTGGCCATTTGTTGTAATGTGGGAGGGAACACATTGGTGGGGAGGGTCTGGGGATCCTCCCCCAGAAAATTTTGTATAAAGTAGATGCCATTTCCTGCATTCTGGTGTATTTTAACAGGTTGTTAAACATCTATGTTTACCTATGGTACATAACTTGATTCAATAACTACTTTAGAGAGCATGGTACAACAAGAAGTAGTCTGACCAACAGCTCTCCCTGTGTGAATAGAGCACGCTCTGCTTCTCTAATGCATCCTAAAAAATAAAGGATTTACTTGCAGTTACCTTTGTACAGGTGAACATGTGTCAGTTCTTGTTTATCACTGTTGTTTTCAGGTTCTCATGAGGTCGGATGCCGGCTTTTATCACCTTTTATAGTTTTCCAAACTTTATTTAGTTTGTGAAATGAAATGGAATTACCAATAACTGTATTCCATCCTCTAAACCAGGGGTCCCCAAACATTTTCCCTGAGAGGGCCAAATTTCAAATCTATCAGAGGGCTGTGGGCCAAATGCAATGCAATTATGGTCCCTCAAAAGGACAAGCAGCATGAGCTCCCGGCTCTGCCAAAGGAAAATGTTATTCAGTGGCAGGAAGCTGCCGAGGGAAGGTAGGAAGTCTGTCATAATAAAAACAAGAATATCCATCCATCCATTATCTTTTACCCGCTTCTTCCATTTTGGTTCACGAGGGTTGTTGGTGCCCATGTCTGGCAATCATTGTGCGAGGGGCGGGGTACACCCTGGACAGATCGCAAGTCTATCACAGGGACGCATAGAGACAAACAACCATTCACTCTCTCACTCACACCTAGGGACAATTTAGAGTTACCAGTCAGCCTAACATGCATGTTTTTGGTCTGTGGGAGGAAACTGGAGTACCCGGAGAAAACCCACGCATGCACGGAGAGAACATGCAAACTCCACCCAGAAAGGCCCCTGGACCGAGATTTGAACCAGGGACCTGCGCACTGAGAGGCAGCAACTCTACCAGTTGTGCCACCACACAAGTATATAAACTACAAAAATTATTTAAAAAATACACAAACCCACTGCTGTGTGATCTGTGTAGTGCCATTACGGTAGTCAGGATGACTAACATTAAAGTCAGTGGGTGGAATCAGTGAGTGTAAACACTGATTTTTCAAAGGAAATTTTAATATAGTAATGAGGACAGCTTGGCAGGCCAACGCAAATGACTTGGCGGGCCCCACTTTGGACACCTCTGCTCTAAACACTCAAGGTAACATGTGTCTGAATTACATGTTCCCCAGTGACAATGTTTAAGTATTTTTCTGATTGGTCAGTTGCTGACAAGCCCACTGGATTGATTGACAGTTGGTGTAGAGGATCCGACTCGAGCCAAAAAAAAAAAAAACCATAGATTTTACTGGCTCATTTAAGAGTGTCATCATTTATTCCATATTTATTCCAAATGTATTCAATATTTTGGTGAATCTAAGGTTTGAGAACTGAGTTTCCGTACAAAACCCTAATGATGGTTTCTTTATTTGTCAGGGGTGCTGATTTAAAAATTTAGGGGTGCTTGAGCACCCACTGGTTGAATGTACCGGTATATAATTGATCGGTGTGTTGCGAGTCCTGTGAAATTTTTATTTTTTATTTTATTTATTCATTTATTTTTGCAAAGCGTGCAGTATCAGATTTGCCCACAGTACGCACAATCAGCACATTTGTCTCTAAAATTACTCCAGGCTACAAAAATAGACAATATGTAAACAAGAGCAGATTTTGTTTGCACAACCTGGCCTATTTGAAGAAGTCAGAGCCCAGCAGAGAGGCTGCAGAGGCCCGCGCTCTCCAGACAGAGCAGGCGATTCTATTTTCATCTCTCTCACGGACGTATTTGACAAATGCATTTTTGGTTTAACAGTTTCATCTCAATATATAAAAAATTAAAATAACACAAAGGGCAATCTCATACCATACTGTGAGATGTCACATTAATGTTTTGTGAATGACTCTCAGCTACAAACACATCACATTTTAGCTTAAAATCTGTAAAATTGACTGTTATACCAATGTTTTCATTGGTTAATGTTGATTAGCTGTGGCAGCCATCTTGAATTGTATTGACTCCCAAGTTAAAGAGTTGTAGAGGCTCATCCAGTGATTACTTTCTAAAAGGTTAACTGACATCTGTCCAGTAGTTCACGAGATATGTTGCTAACAGACAAACCGGGCTGTCTCCAACTGTTAAGAATAAAATTTCAAGTAAACTTCTTGCGCAATCAGTAGCACTTGATATGTCTTGTGAATCCCTCAGCTACAACCTCAGCTAATTTTAGCACAATATCTGTAAAATTGACTGAATTAGAGCCATAATGTTTCTAGTGTCAGATGGCTGTGATGGCCATCTTAATTTATGTTAAATTCAAAAGTTAATTAGATGTAGAATTGCATCTAATGATTATTTCCTGAAAGTTTGATTAAATTCCATTTAGCAGTTTATGAGCTTTTGTGTTAATAGATGGACAATAACTCCAAATAATTAACTGTATCATTTGAAGTATTTTTTTGCAATAAGTAAGGGCATCGAATATCTGATTAGAAATCAGTCTCAGCTACTACCATCCCAAATTTCAGGTCAACATCTCTAAAATTGGCAGGGTTATAGTTAGTTTAGCTTTTTCTTTCAAAAAAGTCAGTTGGCTGTAGCTGCTATCTTGAAATGGATTAACTCCAAGAGATAATCAGCTACAGATATACATCTATTGATTACATTCTGAAAGTTTCATTGAAATTCGTGCAGTCGTTCATGATATATTTTGCTAACAGACGGACACCTTTGTGCAGCTGGCAATCCTATTTTATGAAATTACCATGGGTAAACATGATGTCTTAATTTCTTATCCCAATAATAATCTCCTATTTACATTTACAGTTTGGCGGTGCATATAATCACCATTGCAACATAAAAAATAATTTAAACGTTTAAAGCATTGTATAAGACAACATTATAAAAACAGCATTCAAAAGATAATGCCCCATTAACTAAGAAATATCATGGCGGTCCGGAAACACAGATTAAACACGATTCTCTCTGTTTAAGCTCCATCCATCTGGCGGAGGAAGAAATAAACAAAAGTTGACACATAATCTTTGTTTGTGACGTCACGTGTTTCACCTCATTGCGCTGCAGCTGCAGGAAGTTGTTGAGATAGTTGGAGTTGAGGGAAGAAGAGCTCAGGTCGCCCGCGGCGGGAGTCTTGCTGAAGCTGAGATCCGGGTGGGAAGAGTTGGCTTCGGGTCTGAACGCGTCGAAGGCGCTGGTCTGGTGGGGGTCCTGCAGGGAGAGGTAGACCCAGTTGAGAAGCTGCGTGGGCTGGTACACGGAGGCACTCGTGTCTATGGCAGACAACAAGCTCATCTTTCAGTCCAATTGGGCCAAACTGGATATTCCACCGCTGATAGTTGCTTGGAACTCGTCTCAACTCTCAAGTCCTCTTTTGTGGGTGTTTCAGTTGTACTCTGTTTCTTCTTCTTCACCCTGTCCTCCACGCGCCGGGAGCCTCGTCCCAGTTAAATGCTACTCAAAAGTCATTGCGCTAACAAAAAAAGCATTAAAAAGTTTAGCCCTGCTGCTCCCCATGGTCCGCTATCTGCCTTTAATGCGGCAGGGCCGGAGAGGCGCCCTTTGAATATGTAATTAGCTGGTTCTACGTCATCACGAGGAACCAGCCAATCAGCGTCCGAGGTGTGTGAATATTCATTCACATCGCTATAAAGGTCATATTAAACCAATAAGTTACTAAATTAAACTTTAGCAGACTTTTTCTGAATTTAATAAATATATTTATTCCTTTCATGCGCATTAGGCGCTTAAGAAACAGGTGTGGAATAGTATGTGAAGTTAATCTTCTATGTGGTTATCAATGTCATTAAGTGGTTTGAACATATATCATATATCTAGAGCACTGAAGATAGCGGTAGGTTGAGGTTTGCAAAGACTACTGAGTCCAACAGTTTTAGACTAGAAAACTCTTATCTCTGTCAGGTCTAGGGGAACAGACCAGAGACGATTGAGATGGAGCCAATTCCTATAAGAGAGCTTCCTCTTGTGGCTGTAAATATATAAGCAGTGCAAAAGTTTTAAATCACCTCTAATGGTCATGATGACCACATGACCGTATGCCACATGACATAATGTGTGTGCTACTCATACAATGGCATTCTGGACAGATGTACAACAACTCATACGACAGAAAACTGAACAAATAATTAAATTTAAAGAGAAAGACATTATATTATGCTTCGACAATAAGGATATGGATAAAGACTTGATACTTCACTCAGCTTCCTGGGAAAATTTCACATTCACAAAAAAAAGTGTTCAAACTCCAAGCCGAGCATAACCCAGCAAGGAACTTTATACAGCACCACTATTAAAGAACTTGACAACAAAAAGGCAATGAAAACCATCTCAGTTCTAGAAAACCTCAATGTGAATTTATCTGTATAACCTGTAAACAGATTGTTTTGTATCGTTTTAGACTTTTATACCTTTTTATACTTGTCTTGTTCTTTTTTATATTTGAATACTATTACCTTTGTACCTGTTAGTATACCCCTGGCAGACACATATTTGTAATGCTGATAAAAACGTAATTTAAAAAAGCATGTGTGCTTTAAAAATGAGGAAAATAGAAAAGTAAAGGATAAAAGATGAGCTGGGCCTAAAATAATGCAATTAATAATAATATTAACAATATCAGGTAGTTCATTCATTCAACCTTGACTTATACAGGCTAGTCTCATTGAGTCATGAGGACTCATTTTCAAGAGAGACCTGTTTTAGACAGACAACATATAAAGAAGTATAGACAACAATTAATAAACAACAATAAAATGCAATTAAAATTAAAAAAGTAGTGTTATAAAACAATAATATCAATATGCCTTATAAAATAATGTAAAATACAAAAACAACAAACATATTTGCTTTGATTTTTTTTCTAATGACATTGTCAATTGTTTAAAATCCCTTAAAGAAATCAAGGTGGACAGCTTTACAGGAGCAGAGTAAGAAAGGGCCATTTGCCTAGTTCACTCCGCACTGAGGGAACTCTGCAGGTAATGAAAGCCTGCTGCTCTGAGGATGTGACATGTGGGAGGAGATATAAGAAGGTAGCAGACCAAAGTGTGATTTATAGATGAAGATGTACCAGTGTGAGAGCCTGTGTCTAGATAATGATGAGCAACTGACCAATGAGTACAGAGTGCAGTGATGAGTTACAACCAGTTATGGACCTTAGTGTGCCATGGTAGAGACAGCATCTAACATCTGCAAGCAGCTGGTAAGGACATTCATGTAAATAATCAAGGTCAAGGTTTTCTTTATTGTCATTCACATCTCATGTGGTACATGTGGTGGAACAAAATTGTGTACACGAGGTTACATCCAACAAAAGTATAAATTGTAAAAGAAAAACAGTAATAAGATCTAAGATAAGAACTAAAAAATACGCTAAAGAATATGCTAAACACTTCATAATGCAAAAACAGTACGCTGAACAACAGCAGCACAAACATGAGTCTGTGTGAGCAGATGAGTACGAATGAACACAGCAGCATGAAATAAATCAGCAGCATGAGATCAGCAGCATGGATAATCAGCAGCACATATCAACAATCAAAGTGGTATTACAGTGATTTTTTTTTTTTTCACAGTGATTATTCTGGTTAGAGATTCATGAGTCTAACAGCCTCAGGGTAGAAGCTGTTCCTCAATCTAGTGGTTCTACACTTAGTGCTCCTTAACCTTCTGCCTGAGGGGAGCGGGGCAAAAAGTGTGTGTGCTGGATGAGTGGGGTCCTTCATGATGCAGGTGGCCCTCTTCCTGCATCTGGAGGTGTAGATGTCTGTTATGGTGGAGAGACTGACTCCAACAGACTTCTGTGCAGCCTTCACCACTCTCTGCAAAGCTTTTCTTTCTGCAGCTGTGCAGCCTCCATGCCACATGTTGATGCTGGAGCACAGGATGCTCTCCACTGCACACCTGTAGAAGGAGGTGAGGACTGAGCTTCCCAGACCAGCTCATCTCAGCCACCTGAGGAAGTAGAGTATCTGATGAGCTTTCTTGATCAGGCTGGTAGTGTTGTTTCCTGAGGTTGTCATTCAGGTGCACACCCAAGTACTTGTAGCTGGAGACCACTTCCACCGCAGATCCTCGTATATTCATGGGGTGGGGGGTGGAGGTATGTGTGTTTGTTCCTGCAGAAATCCACGACCATCTCATTCATCTTCTTCACACTGATGTGAAGGTTGTTCTTCCTGCACCAGCTCTCCAGATTATAAAGGAAGGAGTGAACAATGCCCCAAAGACCCATCTCTGCCTGATGCCCTCAACAAGTTCTATGCACGCTTTGAAGACCCAAACAGACCACCCAGCACCAGACTCACCTCACCACCGGATGAAGAGCATCTCAGCGTGACCTCAGCCGAAGTAAGGAGTACTTTCAGGAGGATTAATCCGCACAAAGCAACTGGCCCAGACAACATCCCCGGAAAAGTGTTGAAGGAATGTGCTGATCAGCTCTGCGAGGTGCTGGCAGACATCTTGAACACCTCACTTACCCTGATTACCACGTTGATGCTGGAGCACAGGATGCTCTCCACTGCACACCTGTAGAAGGAGGTGAGGACTGAGCTTCCCAGACCAGCTCGTCTCAGCCGCCTGAGGAAGTAGAGTCTCTGATGAGCTTTCTTGATCAGGCTGGTGGTGTTGTTGCTCCAGCTGAGGTTGTCATTCATGTGTACACCCAAGTACTTGTAGCTGGAGACCACTTCCACCGCAGATCCTCCTATGTTCAGGGGGGTGTAGATGTTTTTGTTCCTTCTGAAGTCCACAATCATCTCCTTTGTCTTCTTCACATTGATGTGAAGGTTATTCTCTTTGCACCAGCTTTCCAGGTGTTCCACCTCCTGCCTGTAGCTGGACTCATTGTTGTTTGTGATGCATCCAACCACCGCTGTATTGTCCGCAAACTTTACAATATGACAGCCTGGATGGGTCAGTGCACAGTCATATGTGAGCAAAGTGAACAGGAGCAGGCTCAACACACAGCCCTGAGCGGAGCCAGTGCTGAGGGTTATGGTGGAGAAGGAGAAGTTCTGGATCCTCACAGACTGCGGTCTGTTTGTTAAGAAGTCTAGGACCCAGTTGCAAATGGAGGGGCATAGCCCGTAGTTTGTCTGTCAGGGTCTGGGGAATCATGGTGTTAAAGGCAGACGTGAAGTCCACAAAAAGCATATGGGCATAGGAGTCCTTCTGCTCCAGGTGGGTGAGAGCAGTGTGAACCACAGAGGAGATGGCATCCTTGATTGATTCTTGCATTATGCATACTGGTGAGGGTCCTCGCTGATGGTGATGGTTGTTCAATAGCGGGTAGAAAAGTTGTAGTTACAAGGTGTTTCCTGGCATTCAGAATTAAGCAAGATATTTTTCTGAAAAAAAAAAAGTTTTAATTTCAGGGGGAGTTTTTTAATCAAATTTTCAACATGTGGCTCAAAAGAGAGATGTGAATCAACTAAAATTTCCATTTGTAAGAATCCACAAATTCAATAGGAACACCATGCATGGATGAGATTGGAGGAAGAACTGCTGGTGCCAACTTTCTGTTTGAAAACAACATCCCCTTAGTTTTATCAGCATTTAGCACCAGTTTGAGATTACTGAATGATGTCAAATGCAGACTGTAGAAGTGGGAAAACCTTGGCAACAGTGTAAACTCAACAATAAACAACTGTCATCAGCATAAAGATGCAAGGAGGCATCAGGAATGTTTTGACCTCCATTACTTATATAAATTATAAAGAGAGTGTGTCCTAAAACTGAGCCTTGTGGCACAACATTATTGACAGTTAAATAACTAGAAGAAGTATCATTGTGTTGAACACATTGCCTTCGACCTGAGAGATAATTAGGAAACCATACGATAGTGTGATCTGAGAAACCAATATCTGAGAGCTTATGGCATAAGATGTCATGATCTATAGTATCAAAAGCTTTGGACAGCCCTAGATAAAGTGTGGCACAGTACATGTAATCCTTAGAATCCAGTGCTCCAACAGTATCATTAAAAACCTCTCTAAGCAGTAGTAATACATACTATGTATTACTACTGCTTAGAGAGGTATGTATTACATAGTAGTGTCCTATCTTATTTAATCTTAATAGTAGTAATACATAATATAATAATACAGTGACTTGGTACTAAGTACAGTACCAGGTACCCTATGTACTCTATTGAATACCCTGTAAGTACAAGGTAACAAGTGTGGGCTGTAGTAGCTCAATATGTGCTGAAGTTTGGTAATCCTGAGGCTTCATGTTCAAACGTACGTGTCAGGAAGGGCATCCAGCATAGAACTATTGCCAAATCCTTCATGTGAGGTCACTCTCTGTGGCAACCCCTGAAGAGAGCAGCTGAGAAAAATAAATTAAACAACAACTAATAAGTAATAAGTCACTTCACAATACAACCTGGTCCAGATAAATACTTGATGGGTACTAGATAAGTACTACATAATTAGCATGTCAGAGGTTTGTACTTGGAATGTAACTGGCACATAACTGGTAACTGCTACACAATACAGCATGACATACCTGGTACTTAACAAGTACTTACCTGAGACTTACTTAGTACATATTTGGTACTAAATGGGTTCAAAGCTGGTAAGTTCTTGGTTTTTACATGGTATGTACCAGGTACATATCCGTTAGTATTATGTATTGCTACAAAAATATTATAATAAATTATGGCTCCTTAAGAGTACAAGGTTAAAGAACGAGCTAAAGATATGATGTTAGCCAACTATTAGAATATTTAAAACAAATGATGGGACAGTGTCACAGACAACTGAGAACCATTCCTTTAGTGTGATTTTCTCCTTGTGATGTGTTTTCCTCCTCTGCTGCAGTCACACACCCTCCTCCTTTGCTTTTCTACTGAGTCAAAGAAGAACAGACAAAAGGGAAGGCGTGCATATGAGAAGCATGCACTCAGGAGGGAAAAGACGATTGCATGCTTGACAAGTAATGTCATAACCCTTACATCTTACGCAACTACGTGTGTCCTATGCCACTTCATAGGCCGTATGTAGTGACTTGTCTACTGTTCAAAATTGAATATCTCTTAAACTGCATGTACCTGCAAGATCTGTCTCACATCAAAGAGCCATTTATCCCATCTGAAAATGAAGATCTTTCAGTATCTCTTTCTTACTTCAACTGTGCTTTTTTATGTTTACAGTACACATCGCATTCCTTTATTTTCTGCTGCTTTTACTACTTTTTGACAGCCTAGAGCTGAAGAGACCTTCCATCCATCAATCCATTATCTTTACCTGCTTCTTTCCTTTTCGGGTGGTGGGGGTCACTGGTGTCCATGTCCAACCATCACTGCATGAGAGGCGGGGTACACCCTGGACAGGTCTCCAGTCCATCACAGGGCCACACAGAGACAAACGAGACTTAACAATTCACTCTCTCACTCACACCTAGGGGCAATTTAGAGTTACCAATCAGCCTAGCATGTTGTCTGTGGGAGGAAACCAGAATACCAGGGGAAAACCCATGCATACACAGAAAGAACATGCAAACTCCACCCAGAAAAGCCCCATGCTGGGATTTGACTTGGGGCGACCTGAGAGGCGCAGCTCTACCAACTGCACCACGGTGCTGCCCTGAAGGGACCTATAAGTAGAAAGTCAAGGAAGGATGAGACAACAATGTGATGTGTAATAGATTAAATCATAGTTTCCTATATTCGTTACAAACGCCACAACAATCTGAACAAAATTAGCATAACAAATAGGTCCTTAAATTACCACTTGAGTAGGATAAGTATTGAAATATAATAAAGGATATAATAAAGGATTGAAATAATTGTTTGAAAAAAGGGGCAGATATAATAAGATTTTTTATTCTTTCTGCTGCCTTTCATTTTAAATCTTTTGTATCTTTTTTTATATTGTTTTGTACTTTTTTAAAATGAAAAAAACTTTATACCATACCATACCATACCAAGTATAGCAAACATATAAGTAAAGCAAATATAACCAAAACACAGCAGTTTCTATAATTAAAACGATCCACAAGTGGTTCACCTTTGTTTTTTATTATTACAGATAAAGGTAGGATCACATGTTTAAACACTCATGGGATGATATGTCATGGTATATTGCTTTTTCCCCCCATGATGAAGTTAAGTGTATTGTTTGTTAAAAGAATGTCACACGCAAATGGGCGGTGCCCGTGTGTGGAAAATATGAGCCCCACCCACTTCAGTTTTTTATATTGCTGTGACCAGACCTGACTTCGCGCGCACTCAAGGAAGAAGAAGCAGATTAACAGTAAGTGAAATAATAATAATAATAATAAATTACTTAAAACCAAGTGTAGCTTGAATACGCGCTTAATAAGGCCAGGTACTGGGCGTGTGATGACTGTTCGTGGAGTCGTTTCGTGGTTTAGTGTAACTCCGGTGGTATTTTTAACTTTAAGCTAACGCACTCTTAGCTGTGTTTAACGTCGAGTCAAGGCTGTCTCGGTGGTTCTTCATGGAAAGCCATTTTTAAACGGATCACGGAGCCTGGTTCTGATTGAATAGTGCTGTAGGCTCGATGGGTCCGGTGACTGGAGGTGCCACGTCTTGTAAGCCGAGTTCGGACAGTTAGCTTGTCTTCATTGTAAAGAAAGGCCTGTTTACAGCTAGGCCTCCGTCAAAACTAATATTAACTTAATCGTCTAGAAAGGTCTGTTTATTTGACAATGGTAGCATTTTAAGATGTTTTATTTACAAGTTAAAGACGGGACTTTCATCCAGCAAAGCTGTCACTAACATTTGGACGGTGGTGCAGTTGGTAAAGCTGCAGCCCCTCGGCCAGAAGGCCACTTCATCGAGTCTTGGTCATGGTATTGAATTCCTGGTGAAGTTTGCATGTTCTCTTCGTGCATGCATGGGTTTCCCCGGGTACTCCGGTTTCCTCCCACAGACCAAAACATGCATGTTAGGCTAATGGTAACTCTAAAATTGTCCCTATGTGTGAGTGACTAACGTGAAAGGTTGTTTGTCTCTAAGTGATCTTTGTGACCTCTTTTATAATGAAATGCAAAGCATTTCACAAGCAACAAGACGGAAAATGACATCAGTGGAGACTGATGTCATTTTACCATGAAATTATTTGCCTAATTGATATACACACTTTTCATATCAAACTTATAGATTACAGAGACTGGATAAAACAAAAAACAACCCAGTTTGCAGTTGATTGGTCTAACTTGCATCTACATTTAGTAGACATTTTACTTTAAATGTGTAAATTACACAACTCTGTTAAAAACAGGTTCAACGCTGGGTGTGTTTTCAGCTTTTGTTGCCATGTCATCGTAAGTGACATGCTTTTAATGTTCTAAAAACATCAGTGATGGATTCTTTTAGTGGTTACAAACAGATTGTTCATGGTAGCTCAGATTGTTACATTTTGTGTAATGTTTTATGATTGACATGTATTTGATAACTGTTTTTTTTGTTTTAATGTCTAATAGCAATGAGCTACCCTGGATACCCTCCCCAAGCAGGAGGCTACCCTCCCCAAGCAGGAGGCTACCCACCACAAGCAGGAGGCTACCCTCCACAAGCAGGAGGCTACCCTCCACAAGCAGGAGGCTACCCTCCACAAGCAGGAGGCTACCCACCACAAGCAGGAGGCTACCCTCCCCAAGCAGGAGGCTACCCGCCACAACCTGGTGCTTATCCTCCTCAACCTGGTGCCTATCCACCACAGCCTAGTGCCTATCCTCCAGCGCCACCTCCAGGTAAGTCCCTGTGCAGTCCATTGAAAATAAATAAATAAGAACATGCATATTTTGTGCAAGTCTGTTGATATTTTGATTCTAAACGACATTGTTCTTTTGATTTTAAAGGAAATAATCTTACTGTTACCAGAAAATTAGATAAAGCTAGCATACAACAGAAAGGATGTATCAATTTCTCTTTAGGCTTTTGCTACATTTGGTACAGCTTTTTTCGCTTGGCAGTCTTCTTGGCAGCATTTTTTCGGCAAGGATTAAATAACCAAGTTACAACATGTTAATAAATATGCTAATGAGAGATTTTGTACCCATATGACGAAATGAGAAATACTTTAGCTTGTAGTTTTGTGTTAGGGCTTTATAAAAGCTGGTGAATGTAAAAGTGCTAAGGCTATGGTGTCTATTTGAACAAGGATTTACCAAGTCGTTTTCTAGGCAACAAAGATGAGATTGTAAACTTACTGGATTTGTTTCCCCCCAAACTAAACATATGTCTGCTGTTGCTAAGAGCAGTAAATTGTTTTAGTTCCTCAACCACATACTGCTTCCATTCTCTGTCCAACGCTCTTCCCATTAGACTTAATTGGTAGAGCCCAAATACAATAGCCCCTCGCTACTTCGCGGTTCGTTTTTCGCAGACTCACTCTATCGCGGTTTTTCAAAAAAAGATTGGACATGACACACAATTAGCTGACTGATAGATGAGCCGCACAGTCGGCATGGATTTTTTAAATTTAAAATAAATTAAATTATTTAGCACCTGCTGCACCTTTGTGCAGCCCACAGCTGCAGGAGAAGCTTCCTCCTGCAGCTGATCAGCTGATTTCCATGCAGAGCGGATAAGTGGGCGTGGCCGAGAGTGCTTGCAGGTGGCACAGAGCAGCCGAGGCATGGAGCTGAAATCATGACATTCTGTGCTCTTAGAGAGTTTAGAAACATTGTTTAGAAAATTGCAAGAGTGTGGGAAGGGTTTAAAATGACTATACAGTATATATCTATATGTATATAGATACACACACACTAAAATAAACTACTACTTACTACTTGTACTACTATTCCTATTTCGTGGTTTTTCACTTATCACGGGGCTTGAGGGTACAGATTCCCACGATAAACAAGGGACTACTGTATATCCAGTTCAAAGGTCATGTCTTTCAGTGTCTTCCAGCATTTAGACACATTCTCAATGTTCCTAATTTCTTCTACAGGCAGCTGGGGAGGTGGCCTTGCAGGTGGATACCCCTCTGCTGGTTCTAACAACTTTCCAAGTCCTGGATACAACGCTGGCATGGTAAGTTTATCCTTACAAATCACAGATACCTGAAAAGTTCTGAATACGTCTGCAATGCCGTATCATTGGATTATTGCATTAAATATTCCAGTTAGAATAAATTACACAGCTTCAATGGAGTATCATGTTCTTTGACTTTACGATAAGAATTCCCCAAGTTCCAAACTTAACATTTTTGACATTGCTATTTTTTCCATCAGCTCAATTAGGAAGTTCTTCTGCATGAACACCATTCATATGTTTAAGCCTTGTCTATGCTTTTAATCTTTTGCTCCTTATTCAGTTTGTATTTGTCTTTTTTGTGCGTGCTCTTGCTTCTTGTCATAAGATTTAGTTTGCACGGTCATGTTTCTTTTTTTAAAAGTAAAATAAGTCAGAACATTAACTTCAAGTAGAGCATAAGGGAAGGATAGTTGCATGTAATTTTCATCCTGATGCAATGCTAATTCCACAAGTACGTCCAATTCTTTCAGCTACATGTGCTTCATCTAAAATGACCACAATAGCTTTGAAACTATTTTATGAAATGCCAAACTTTCCAAATCATAGGGCAACCAGAGCTTTGCCAGCATGAGGGCCCATGTTCCCTCAAGCACCTGTAGGGTACCCACCTGCCCCACAAGCTCGTGCCCTCTATCCTAACCAATCATATGGCTTGTACCTACAGGGAGCGGGGGGGACCATGCCCCAACAACAACAATGGCCTGGAATGGGCTACCCTAGTCAGCCTGGTCAACCAATGCCTGGTTACCCTGGTGCACCATCACCCAACCAACCCATGCCTGGTTTTGGAGGAGCACCCACACCAACACCCACACCAACACCAGCATACCCATCACCAAATCCATCGATGCCAGCCTACGGAGGTGGAGCCATGCCAGTAAATCCACCTGTCAATGTAAGAGACAATATCTGCCTGTTACTATGCCTCTCTGTGAATGTTGTTGTTGTTGTTGTTGTTGTTGTTGTTGTTGTTGTTGTTGTTTGGTAAAACAAATTATTACTCTTTTTTTTTTTTTTTTATCTCAGAGAGGATTCAGGGGAACAATTGTGGACTTTCCTGGAGCTGACCCACTCAAAGATGTGGAGGTCCTGAGAAAGGCCATGAAGGGCTTTGGTGAGTGTGGTGGGCAGAGATCATCAGGTTGTACTAATTAAAAAAAAAAAAAAAGATCTTGTCAGAATATTTGAGGAACATGTTACTTTTTTCAATTGTTTTTAGTCTATGAATGTTGACATATCTCATGTATAACCAGTATTTACCAAAACACTGTCCTGAGTATAAACTTTAAGCTTCTAATAAAGCTAAAGTCTTCTGAATTTACATGAGGCTGGATGTTTTGCATTTTCAAATTTGTTTAGTGAATTGATTCTCTTGAGGGCCCAAAATCGCCTTATATTCTACTTGGCTAATTGGTTGTTAAGGGGCAGTTATACATTTAGAAATGTATCTGTTATTTTTATAATACTATTTTAGTTCCCTCATTAAGAACAGTATGTACATGTTTGTCTCTTATAAACTTAAAAAAAAAACTTAGTCACTGTTTTGTAAATGAATTGATAATGAGCATGTTTTTAAATTGAAATCATCTTAATTAATCAAAGGCATCATAAATTAGTTTTTAGTTTTATTAGTCCTTGAAAGTGTGGCATTTTCTGTGCAGGAACGGACGAGCAAGCCATAATTAATTTACTGGGGAGTCGCTCCAACAAGCAGCGTGTACCGTTGCTCAAAGCCTACAAAACTTCTTATGGGAAGGTAACACTTGCAGTTATAGTTATGCTTGCGTAATGTTTTTGCCAACGCTTGTACCTTTTTCCCATTTGGGCTCTGCTTTTAAAAATAGCTTACACAATTTACAAATATAGAAACATTGAATCTGTGTGCACTAAGTGGTACTGTGACAAGCAGACAACAGGTGCTGGTGCTGGAGTAAAATGGAGAGGAGGATCATATGTCTTCCACCATAGTTGTGTTAGAGCTGCTTAGTTCCTCACAACAGCAGTTTCTCTTTGCTGGGATTTATTCCAAACACTTTTTTCACTTTCAGGATCTGATCAAAGACCTGCATTCAGAACTCTCTGGGGACTTCAGGAAGCTGGTCATGGCTACGTTGAAGACTCCAGCTCAGTTTGATGCCTCTCAACTCCATGATGCGATGAAGGTAAAATGTTCAGAAACACAATAGTGAAAGCATGCAGATTTGTTGTAAAGCTATGCATTCTTTGTACATTTGAACAAACCTTCATTTACTGGAAAAACTGCATCCACAAGGCCAGAGGATGAAGATAAAATGTTGAAACAGTTGTGTTGTTGTCTTCCTCACAGGGAGCTGGAACTGATGAGGCCTGTCTGATAGAGATCTTGTCCTCTCGCTCTAATTATGAAATCAAAGAGATAAATCGAGTTTACAAAGAAGGTGAGATGCTCCAGGGCTTAACTTAACGGTCATCCTTCAGCTTCTGCTGTGTTCTCTATCTTGCATTGTTTCAGTATTGGATTTAAAAAGCTGTGAGATAAAACTGAATTTGAATGCAATATTGTGAATACACAATATTTATTGTGCAGATATTATTGCCTAACGTTGCATAATAATGGCACTGACACATATAGACCTATTGTGTTTTTACTGGTGTAAGTTGGGATGTGATCCCACAGTTTTCAAATAATACCTCAAACACTGTTTCTGCATCAGTTTTGGGTTCAGCGAAACTTAGATTGACTTGTGTTTGGATGTAATGTCACAGTACTTACCAGTTAATAATAAAAAGTGGTATCAGCCATTGTTTGTTTGTATTTATTGTCTAAATTCTCATTTGTTTCAGAGTACAAGAAAAAGCTAGAAGATGCTATTCAAAACGATACCTCAGGCCACTTCTGCAGGCTCCTGATCTCTCTGGCCCAGGTACAGCCATGATTCAAACTATTTATCTTTGCTGCCACATTGTCATAATTAGCCACACTACAATTCAGCAATAATGCTGTTTTGTTTTTGTAGGGCAATCGAGATGAACGAGAGACTGTTGATATCGCTTTGGCCAAACAGGATGCTCAGGTAAAATTAATCTTGTTATAAATTATTATTGTTTAAATATCACATTAAGCTGTCAGCAGAGTACTAATTGTACTATTTCCATCTTTGGGTGAGTTAGAATTATATCGGATATATTTTAAGCAAATGTAAATTTTTCTCAAGGTGATCCCCAAATATCAGGATTTATTATTTATGCTTACAAGGAGCTACTTTAAATTATTTCAATTAAAATGAATTAAATTGCAATTTAGAGAGCAATTTAATTGCATTAATTTAATTTAAATGATCATTTATTTTATTGTCATTGCACCTAAATACAGTTAAATTTGGCTTTGCTTCCATAGAGCACTGGGAGCTTCATTTGAGAACACTGTACTGTGAGGGCGGCTGTGGCTGAGTGGTTAGAGCAGTCGTCCTCCAATGCAAGAGTTGGGGGTTCAAATCCACCAGCAGTCACATGCCGAAGTGTCCCTGGGCAAGACACTGAACCCCTCGTTGCCTCCGATGTGTGTCCCATCAGTGTATGAATGTGATAAAGCTCTGATTAGTCTCTTTAGAATGATTTGTTCAATTAACTTTGTAGCGCTATAGTAGAGTGCTGTTTGAATGGGTAAATGAGGACACAGATTGTGTTGTAAAGCGCTTGAAGTATCTCAATAAGATAGAAAGGCGCTATATAAGTACAGTCCATTTACTTTTACCAAGGTTATGTACACAGTATACTGTGTAGTGAGTCACGTGGGTACGTGTCACTTGTTGTATGGCAAATATATGAAATATATATGCATACAATATTCACGAGTTCTTCATTTTTCTGACTGTGTAATGCCGTGCATTGAATTTAACAGAAATGCGAACGAGAGACGTCATTACCTTTGACCCATCAAATGAATGGAGTCATTTATTTTCAGAATCAAAGTTTAACATCAAACATTTACATTAATTTGGCAAAATATGAAAATAATAACAGACAGTTTCACAGAAAATGAACTTCAAATCACTCGGCGGTGATTTGAGGACTTTGCTTCAGATATTTCTAAAATATCTGTACTAGTTTTGTGAGAGAGAGATGAGTTTAAGAGGAAATTGAGATTTATCTTACAGAGGAATATGTGAGGGAATTTAATCTGTTTGACCAGAAATTGCACGCTCCGTCAGATCTCAGCTTTGCCCACGGTACACTTGGTCGAAGAAGAAGTTTTACCTTGTTGACGATCGATCACCTCAGTAAGAATCCTTTTCAACTGATATCAGCGTCTCCGTTGAGAACAGCTAAAACCCTCGGAGAGTCGTGCGTGGTTAGCTCAAACAGAAATTATAATTCCAAGCGTCTCTGGATTCTCGGCAACTCCAAAACTCTCCATAACTCTAGTTCTCTTCTGAACTCCTTCAGAACTTTTCCATTCTCCAGAATCTACTGCACTCTTACTCTCTCTAGCCTCATAGAACCGGGAAGTTGTCACATTTTAAATGAGTTTACTTCCGAGTTTACTTCAGAGCTTTCTGATTCGTGGATAGACCAGAAAGAGGAGTGATTTTGTGACGTAAGATGTTATCTAAGCCAAGGTCAGAGGATGAGATTGTTTTAACAACTGACAGAGAGATTATTGCAGGAGAGCAGACTTCGTGGAGTCAACTCTTGGTAATCTTCTGAAAAAGTTTAAACATGACATCTTTCTCGGTAAACATTTTAGTTGACCGAAAACCAACCTTTCACATACTTACGACTTGACTCATTTCAGACAGAAAATCAAGAAATGCATATTCAGGTGATTTCTTCTCTGAATGAGGAATAAAAATCATTACTTACTGTTTATGTAAAATAAAAATGAGTAGTTCTTTTCAACCTGTAAAGCATTGAGTGAACTAACACAATTTGATTATCAAAACATTTGTAAGACAGTAATGATTATAAAGAATTGTCTTTTCTGCTTGATTAATTCAAGAAAGAAAGTCATCAGATGGCCCAGACTTATTCAGATCAATGAAAATAACAGTCTCTGTCCATCTGGTAGATTTGAGGTCAGATAAGGGTCAGACCAGGTTCACTACAGTTGTGTACTTTTACTAAGGTCATGTACACAGTGTACTCCTTTATGTGAAAACCTTTGAGAAGTGACCTCTGTCTTAAATCTGCTTTAAATGTCTCTCTTGCAAAGTTTGAGGATGAGGACAAGAACGAGGGAAGTTCCACTCGAGCAGCTCCTGAAAGAGTCTGCCACTCGGTAGCATAGAAATGCCATGCAAGATGGCTGACTGAGAACATTTAACATTTCAATATACTTACTCAATTACACTTTTCTTGAGATTTTTTGTCTTTATTGTAAAAGTTGTGGACAACAAAAAATTTTGAAGGACAACCAGATTCTGTCAGAAGGTTGTTTGCTGGACAACCTGGAAAACTTCCCAATGTCTACTCTTGTTGTCTATTTTGTCAATTTCCAGGTTGAAAAGATTTTTAACACAAAGTAGTATTTTTTTTTTTAGGTTGCCAGGACTGATAAAACCTACAAGTTATTTTTTAAAATTATTATTATTATTTGTTGATACAGCAGCATACTACTGACGTTCATACCTTAATCTTTATTTTGATTTCATGTGAATACAATAATGTTTATCATTTTTGTATAGTTAATAGCTCAACCTGCTGATTGCACAATTACAGATATATGTTTTAAACTTGTGTATTTTATTTTTTTATAGGCTCTGTATGCTGCTGGGGAGAATAAACTGGGAACTGATGAGTCCAAATTCAATGCCATTTTATGCGCCAGGAGCAAACCCCATCTCAGCGCAGGTAAAAATAAAATAAAATGTAAAGTAGTCACGAGTAAGATGGTTTAAGCAGATAAAACATACAACAGAATTAGAGCATCAAAAGAAAAAACTTGTACTCCTCTTTTTCTCAAGCAGACATGTTTGTGATGAAAATATTAGACGGCAGTTTAGTTTTCAACCAAATCCTTTCAAGCCATTTTCTTTACAGGGAGTTTGTAGAAGAGGTGGTAAAAAACTAAATTCTATTTCTTCCTTGTATTTTGCAGTTTACATCTTTGTCGCACACTCATCGAACTAAAACTTTTTCAGACTGACAAACATTTTCAGAAAGTTTACCTCAGTTTAATGATGGCCATTTGCATAAACTACAGAATATATCATATTATATACTAAACACTAATTCAGCAGTTCTTGTCACATTTAATATTCATGTCAGTCTCCAAACTTTTGACCATGACTGTATTTGACGTTTAGTCCCTCGCTACTTCGCGGTTCAACTTTTGCAGACTCGCTTTATCGCGGTTTTTCAAAATAAGATTGGACATGACACACAATTGGCTGATTGATGGATGAGCCGCACGATTGGCATGGAATTTTTTAATTTAAAATAAATTATTTAGCACCTGCTGCAGTGTGTCAAATCTCTGCTCTACATCAGAGAAGTGGGCGTGGCCAAGAGCGCTGGCAGGTGGCAGAGAGCAGAGATCACGACATACTGTGCTCTTTTAGAGCGTTTAGAGTTTAGAAACATTGTTAGGGACATTGCAAAAGTGTGGGAAGGGTTTAAAATGTCTTAATATATGCCTGTATATAAATACTAAAATAAACTACTACTTACTACTACAGTATATACTAAAATAAACTACTTGCTACTACTACTTGTGCACAAAATTTTGTTCGGTAATAACAATAAAGTGTACTTGAACTTGAAGTACTATATTCCTACTTTGCAGTTTTTCCACTTATCACAGGGGGGCGTGGTCTCTCACCCACCCCCCCCCCAACCAGCGATAAACGAGGGACCACTGTATATGTGAATGTTCTTCCTCTTCAGTTTGGTCTTTTTTAGTGACAAATTAGATGTCAGATTTTCCAGTTGAATAATGAACACAAGTACTGGTAGAATATTATTAGCTCATTTTTTTTCTGAAGTACTGAAAACTTGCAGTCAGAGTTGGAGGTGGGCAGCACTTAAAAGTGAGAAAGCTTTTCTTCTTTTTTCTGAATTACATGTTTTTAAATCTAGATGACCAAAACAAAGTGCCCAAGGTTCTAGTTGTAAAAAGTCACATTTGTCCGTTTCCTTTAATTTTTTGTACTTCATCTGTATTACTGATGCTGAATGTATTTGTGTGTGTGTGTGCAGTGTTTTATGAATACCAGAAAATGTGCGGTAGAGACATCGAGAGCAGCATAACGAGAGAAATGTCTGGAGACCTTGAGAGTGGCATGCTGGCAGTTGGTAAGAATTATTTCACAATTCAGGTTTATTTTAGAGTCAACATGTTAGGGATGAAGATGTTCAAGTTTATCTTCATGAATTAAATACCATAGAGCATTTATTGAAGTATTTGTTTCACTTACAAGAGTTGCACTTGCTGCTATCCATATTGCTGTGGTAGGGGCCCATTTAACACTAATCACATGACTTCTCTCTGTTTTGTTTGTTTTTGTGCAAACATTTCTAAGGGTTATGGTACAGTAACATATTGATTTATATGTTTTATTGTATTTTGTTTTTTCTTTAACATTTTCATTGTCAGATGGTGTGCATTGCAGTTTTAGAAGTTGTTTTTTTTATTTTCTTCATCATTGTGTGCATAAAATGTTAATACATGTAAAAAAAAAGTACATAATCTCAGTTTTATACATTTTCACCACAGCCACTGTCATGGTGAAACTTATCAATGTATTAATTATTAATTAAGCCGGATAAATCAAACATACACTTGATCTCTTGAACCTGCTCCAGCCCTTCAAATTAGAAAAAATGTGGCCTCAAATTTATGACTACGCAGAAAATATTACATTACATTGTTAGTTATTTTAAAAGAACTTGACTAAAACACAGTTGCTATGTGTGGAAATACTAAGTACAAAAGAATATATTAAAAGCACAAGTTCTGGATAATGGCTTGCCTGCTGAGTACAACTCGATTTCAAAACTTCCAAATAATTTTTCTATTCTGAAGGTGTCTGGTTCAAAAGGCTAACTGGACAGCAGGTTAAACTTTGACACGATATTTCTTCACCCCCCCCCCCCCAAAAAAAGTTTATTTTCAAAACCCTGTGTTGTTTTTTTTTTTTTTTTTGTCTTGCAGTGCTGTGCTTTTTTCTAATGCATTCTTAGTGTGGTTTATTAACCACTTTTGTGTGTATTTTGGTGTTTGTATGGCTCAATTTGTCACTTGGTGATGCCTCTGTTTCAGTGAAGTGCATTAAGAACACACCTGCCTACTTTGCTGAGAGACTTTACAAGTCCATGAAGGTGGGGCATAAACTTTCTATACATCATTTAAGAAACCTAGAACACAAACTTTTTGTTTCGTACACATATTTGTCTACATGTGTGCATGTGTGCTTGTAGGGTCTCGGAACTAAAGACCAAACCCTGATCCGGATCATGGTGTCCCGTTCAGAGGTTGACATGCTGGATATTCGTCAGGAGTATCTTAAAAAGTATGGCAAATCGCTGTATACACACATCACTGTAAGTATCTAAATTCATTTTGCGGTGCTGTATTTATGTCAAAGTGAAATGCTGTTGTGAGACACAAGTCTAAATAGATGTGTATATATTTTTGTTATTTAAAGGCGGACACGTCAGGAGACTACAGGAAACTCCTACTCAAGCTCTGTGGTGGCAATGACTGAAAAAGCGGCATCATCTACGGCACCGTAGCTGTTTATCATGGTTTTTTGAATGCATTATACCCAAGCTGCAAATCTACACTATTTGTCACTGATTTCAAAGCAATTTTTACTCGGCAGCATTTTCTTTATATATTGTACACACTGAAAGCTTTTATATTTTCTCACGTGGTTTACTGGAGAGTTGAATGTATACAACCATAAATTATATATTTTATTACTGGTAGCTTAAAACTCAATTGTAGCGTAATACCATGAGTGGATATTTTGAATGTGCCAGGAAGATATTAAATATTTTATTTCTCTAATTTTCAGCATTATAGGATAAAGAGAAACCAGAGTAAAACGACAATCATTGCAATTGCATGATCTGCTTTGTAGTTATTAGCATTTTGATATGTTTTGCTTGTCTCGGCTTTGCTGCATTTGTCGTAGATATTTTATTCCACAAAAGGATGTCCCTCTAAAACATAAATATGCAAAAAATTAGCATCCATTTGTGAAAACGCATGGTCTTTATTGAGAAACAGACTTTCAACAGATGACACTTTTGGGGTTGAAACTCCCAGACTTTTTGAAGCCTACGATAAACACTTCCAAATTATCTTTATTTAAATTACTACAACTTGTTTTCAAAACTGATGCTCTTAACAGTGCACTATAGAAAAGCTTCTTTTTTTTCGCCAGTAGAGGGCAGGGTAGTATTTTTATTAGCTCTTGTGGGTTCTTAAAATGCAATCCAGTATGTAAAATTCATAAGATGGCATTAAATCAATAGTATTTTCATGCCATTAATGATCGGCTTCATATTTACACACCGAGTGATGAATGCCACAACACCGTTTTCAAGTTGGTGCCTTTTTATGCGTTTTTGTTCAAATTGCTTTTTCCTTGTGGAGTGTGGGGCCAACATGTGGCTGCTCAAATAACTTACCATTTAATTATTGCTGGGGTGGGGAGTATTAATGACTGCTGAAAGCAGCTTTGACCACATCTACATACCTACCCGGAAAAATACACTTGGGGAGTTTTAATTTGGGGAAAAAAAGGGTTTTGGGTTAAAACTAGATATGATTGTTTGAATTTATTGAAGATTAAAAGCAATTTCATCACAGTTGGGGAAACCAATTATCTCAAATGAGTCCTATAAGGTAATTACAATGTATATCTACAAACATTATAGGTTTAACGTGATAATTAAAAATCTGTTCTATTTGGAGGTGTCCTGCTCAACCGTTTCAAAGCTAATTAAAAAGTGTAAATGGATGTGCTTATTTTAACATGTATTAAAACTGATCTGATCATCTGGGAGTTCCAGGATGTTCAAAGATGATGTTGATCTGGAGAAACATGAGAAAACAAATAAAATTACTGAGATGCAAATGTTACTGGTTTATTATTTCTTTGGAGTATGCAATTTTGGTTTGGCTTTGTTTTCTGAAGTGTTTCAATTTGACAAATTCTTTATTTTGATATGTTCTGCAAACATGTTTGTGAAGATGAATTGTGGGGTTTTGTTCTGAGTGGAGACTTTTGGTGTTCGTAGCTCAGATATTTTCAGCTAAATCTCCACTCGCACTGGCAGTAAATAAATCTTTTTTATTTTTTTGCAAGCATGGGGTCAGGGTAAATGATGGATATCCTTGCTGACAGTCGCTTCAATAAAAGATAAGGCTATTATCTGCCCTGTTTCAGTCTGTCTTATAAACAAATCTTTTTCAACAATTTCCAATGAAACATCCGACAACCATTTTGGCTGTCTAAATAATAACTTCACCCATCCCCTCAAGATAAAAAGGCATTAGGCTGTCCTTTCTATTCACATGTGTGTCCTCAGAAATAAAAAGAGAATAGACACAGTTGTTCAATCTGTGTCAGCTGTAGGGATCTGCTTCCCTTTGATGTGAATGAATTGTAATTAATTTTTCATCTGAACGAATAGCACACAGTTGCACAAGCTCTGCAGCCAGCATGGCAGGGGAAGAGAGGGTTAGGGGGAGGGTGGTGGGGTTTGCAGATGTCACAATGAGATTCAGTGCATGCATGAATAAGGTCACGATTTGAGAGGTATGCCTGCAGACGCCTGCCCCCCCTGTGCCAACCGTCTATTCGGTTGTAGTCTAAAAGCTGGGTGAGTCCATCATCATGTTGGGCTTCATAAATCCTCCTCAAATGCACATTTTATTTGTCAGCCTTGTATATTGCATGTTTGTAGATAAATTGTGACTCCATATCTTAACCCTCTCTAAAATAGGTGGCATTGCAGCTTGGAAGGTGCCCATAGCCACAGAATGCAGCGTGGAATAATTAAACTCTAGTCTTTATTTTTGAATTAACATTTTACCCCTAAAATGTGCGTTACATGGTCAGTGCATAGTCTTTGGTGTTACATGATGTTCATGTTTTAGTGTTAAAAGAAAACATTATTAAACAATTACAGTATATTGTGTGTGCACATCCAAGCTGGAGGAAGATGTAATGCTGCTCTTATTTGTAAGCCCTCAGAGATGATCTGACTTGCTATTTATTACATCTTTATAATTAATGCACGTGGAAGCATTCTGTGTGTTCAAAGTTTATAATAAACTATTCTTCGCCTGCAAACATCTAGCACATCTATCAGAGACGGAGAGAATCAAGATTTGCTCAACCAAATTTGACATTTTAAGAAAATAATGATTATTTGACTAGAGTATTGAGGGGTAAATAGCTTTCATATCAAAAACTGTGCTTTTGTTTACATACAACAAATAAAATCGTATTTACTGTAATAAAAATAACATTTAAATGTACAACTAAAGACAAGATAGTATTCAGAAATTAAAAAAGGCTTGTGCTCTTTTATGGCTTATGTTTGGTATGAATGTTTTGTTCTATATGGTAGTATATAACAATAAAAGGTATCTTCTACAAGCTTTTTGATAATGTAACTTTAATTAAAGCTTATTTACTATACTCTTAAAATGTACACGTTGCTAAGTTAAATGTTTTTTCTTTAAGTGTATATAAATGTATAAAAAAAAAGCATTTATCAGAACAGAAGATAAACATTTTGATGGAAATTTTCTCCATTCTCATTTTTTTTTTTTTCCCATCTGAGATTTTCGACGTACTACGGATAGATGTGTACGCCCATTGAAGAAATGGGCGTGTTTTGATACGAGACCCCGCCTTATTTGACCATATTTGGTCATTGAACAACCGTTGACTGACAGCGGGCAGCAGCTGCTAAGTTGCTCAGACATGGCGGAGGGTACAGTGTAACTGAGGTTCAGCGGCGGAGTTACGCGAGTTTTCCCAGCAGTTGAGACGGCAAAGCGCGCATGAAATGATACGGAAGGAGAGAAAAATGTGTTCGGCTAAAGCGTACTCCGAGGGGAAGCAAAAAACGAGCTGAACTGCTACATGTTAGTAAGATGGAACAATGTATCGCTGTTTAGTGCAGTCAACAGCCTTGGGCAACAAATATGGCTTCTTGTGCCTTTTTCAATATGCTCTAAAGATTGGTCTCGCGTGCAAGCTAATGCCGTGGTGGCTCCGGCGAACTTCTGCAAGCCGCGGTGAGTTCACTTCCGTAATCGCTCGGTACTTTTGATCGGTAGGGATCATCCATCCGCTGGCTTGGCCGTCAGGGTTAGCTGGGGAAGCTACGGAACTAGAAAGCAATGGAGCCAAAGCACAAAGAGTTGCTAGACCAGTGCCACCAGAACTTACTGGAGTCCATAACAGATGCGGATCGAGTTATCGAGCTGCTGATAGTCTCTGGAACCTTGAGCCAACTCGACAAGTTCGAGCTGGAGCAGAACTGCTCGTCCAGCGCGGAGAAAGTCGACCACCTTCTGAAGATGCTGACGAACAAGGAGAGCGACCATTTCCTCGACCTGTGTGTGGCCCTGGAGAAAGCTTACCCTGACCTGTACTCTGCCCTGTTCAGCAACAACGGCGGTGGACCTGTGGACCACTCCACCGGTAAGACCTTAACCATTCCTCAACAGGCTTTGCAACTTCCGAGTCCAGAAATGAGTCCATGGATGGCTCTCATGTTGTACGACCTGGGTGGTCTGGTGCAGGAGTGTGCACCTGGCTGCACAGCATTAAAGAGACCCATTGCAAAGTATGCAATCAAACATAAAACATGTATTTCTGAACTATAGGTGCAGTTTTAAAGAGTTTATTCCAGTAGTTTTCCAGGTGTACTATGTAATTGTGAAATGCTGGTACGCACTAAATGTAAACGCAGCACTTTTGTTGAATCTGTGAAAACCAAGTGGAAGCTCGAGTCATGTTATGTTGACCTACAAAAAGCTGGCCATAGTCTGTTTTAGGTGGAAATATAATCTGCTGCTAATGATGAGAGAAAATAAAGAGAGAACACGTGAGATGTTGGAAAATAATGCAGGGCCGGAAAGACAAAACTTCAGCTAGACCAGTAAGTTTACAGTTTGGCCAGTTTTCACTCACTTTGACTCTATGCAGTAAATAAACTCGTGACATTACCGGTAGTCACAAATAATTGTGCTTGCAAATTTTTCAGTTATGCACACATTAGCTATCAATATGAGGAAAAACGTTTATGATTATTTTTGCATAATCTTCTTGACTTTGCAACGATTCGCTTTAAAGCTAGGACCAAAAAACTGTTAAATGATATGGCTGTAAATTGTAAAACGCTGCTCTAACATCACCTCACCTTTTGATGGATATAATCACACTACGCTGTGTGAAATATAATGCACTCACCTAATATATAAATGAAATATTTATTGTGATTTGCAGATTTGATGCACGTTTGGTAAGAAATGTAATATTAATTAATCATTACTCACAGCCATGCCTGGTCCTTTAGGTTGCTACTATCAACACATCCCACTACACAAACAACACATCCATGTGAAGCTTGGTCATAATGGTTTAATGTTTAGAGATATACACATTTATTGTTAAGCACCACAAATGTCATTTGTCGGAGCAGCATATGGCTGGTACAATGGGTAGCCTTAGTTGTTTCCATGGCAACGGTGTACTACTGACATGTTAGTTCACATCAACCTGTACATGGGTGTGCACAGGCTGCTTACACATGCTTATTTGAAACATCTTTTGGTTCAATTTCATCATCATTTTTAAAGGAATTCATTGCAGTTGTTTGATTTGCACCCCTGCTCTCAAAACGTCTTTCTCTTCTGTGGTTTTTGTTGCTGTTTCACAGAGACAAAGACCAACCAAGTGTAAAACCTCGTCTAGTTTTGCCTGTTTTGCTTTGTCTCAATGACTAAAGCCAGTAAGTGGCTTTCTCACAACTGGTGTCATACCCCGGGGTGTGTGTGTGTGTGTGTGTGTGTGTGTGTGTGTTGAATTTAGGATGAGCCTCCAGATCCTAAAGTAGGGAGGAGATGGTTGAGTGTGTCTTTTGTAGCGTTTCCAATGTAAAACCTGCTTGCAAGTAATTTTGCAACTCATAATGGAGCTTTAGTTTTATTTCTGAAAGCTGCATCTTTTGTTTACTGCTCCCAAGTGTCATGGTTTAAAATAGACATTTGCAGGTAATGCTGAGTTGGTTTCTTGCTGACGGGATCGTTAATGCTTCCTTAAGCTTTATTACTTCCTTGTATTGAGTGGTTCTGCTGCAGAATACCACTTGGCAGGGTGGATTTGGGTTTCTTTTCACACACCTTTCTATTCTGTTTTGCAGCACTGGGCTTAAAAGTTGATATGTCGTATTTGTGGGAGAGACGGTATTAAATCTGGCCTGTCAGTCTGTGGTTATTCAACTGAGGATTAGGAACTGTTTCCCTCAATCTGGTGTTTCTGGCTTTTTTTACAGTGAAGTGCTGCGATTTGCACTAACATTGTTTTTTTATCATCTTTTTAATGTTGCAATTTGGGTGACATGATTATCATGTTTTCACCACTCTTGTAAGAAACGGAACACGAGCCGCTCACAGCCTACCTTCGGGCGCAGAAGCTAGTAGAAAGAGCTCATGGGGGGATAAAATCCTCAGAGCTGTGGTGTGTCTGTGAACATCGCAGGGTGTGTGTGAAGCGAGGGAATCAGTGTGATGAGTCTTGCTGATGGCAACCTGCTCTCAGCTTGTCCTCTGCTCGCACTGCCTGCCCGCTCTTGTTTTCTGATGCGTCTCCTGTGCCAGCTGAGCCTCCAATCACATGCGCATGTGAAATCATCCAAAGACATGTTGTCTCATCGGAGGAGAAAGCAAGCAGATGAGCACCTTAATATTCTATGTTTAAAGCTCAGGCTCTGTAGATTATTGGTGTTTTTGTTGGCAAACTCCAGCACATAAATCTGTAGAGGACAGACAAACAAATCGGTAATTATTTAGTTTGTTTTGTGAATCTTTACACTCAAACTATTGCTCACCCTTTGCAGCAGAATATCTCTGCTTGGACTGCACAGTTGAGATGTGCTTAGCAAATCTGAAGGTTTAGCTCTGCTGTGTTTTGACAGAAGCTGGTATCAAAGTTTTCAAACGGAATTAAAAAAAAGTTTGATGAATATGTAGCTGTTTTCATGTCTTGGCTCATGTCTTTGCAGCTTGGGGTAGTATTTTACTAGAACGGAGTAGTAAAAATGTCCCCACCACCACCTTTTTCACCCTGCTCTTTTCATTCTCCATAGTGATGATCTGCTGCTTTGTTTGCTTTCATTTCCCGGGATCTTTAATCTGGTGTTTTATTGTCCTTTCCTCTGACTCACCAGCTATTTTGTCCTTTACTACGACTTGCTGTATATCTCGACACCCATTGAGTGGTTTCATTTCTCCAAACGCTTAAATAAAAGGACTCACCAGAAAGACAAAGGAGGGTGAAGGGAAGAGGGAGCAAGAGAGGGAGACAACAGGGCTTTTGTTGAAAAGTTGAGCAGACCCAAAGTGCCTAGTCAGCAGCTTACTCTGTGTACAGCAGCCCAGGACACGGGCCAGTGTTTTTGTGTTATTGGAGGAGGTGCTGTCCCCTCTGTCAACGAGTTTCTGTCCCACTCCATAAACCATGGTGGAGGCACGGAAAGAGTTATGACTCTCTTTGTCACAAGCGCAGCTCTTAAATGTCTTCCTTGAGCTAGACCCGGCTTTGCTTTTTGTCACTCGCTGTCTGCGTCAGTGTCTGTCACTCAGTGACGCACACTGTAACTTACCTAGTCATCCCACTTTCTTTCCTCGTAACACTTTTGTATCTCACTGTTTATCTCCTCAGTGCTGCATTGAGGGCATGCAGAGGAAATCAGTTCATCTGCTGTTGGGTGATATTAAGATGTGCAGTAACGAAAAGGTCGACCTCACTGCGCCTCTATGGAACACCAAAATGTAGGGGTGTAACCTAAAAAAGTTAAATCTGGTCCTCTGGACATTCAAAAAAACAAAACAAAGCAAATCAACCAAAAATGTAGAAACATTTCGTCTCTCATCCGAGAGACTTCCTCAGTCTGAGGAGCTGTATTCAGCTCAGTCTCTTAAATAGCACCGTCTCAGTGTGGATCAACCAGTTTTGCTGCTGACAACCAAAACCAGCTGATCACATGCTCAAGAAGGACCATCAGCCTAACAATGGATCATTAGCACACTGATGGCTGTTTACTACTCACAGAGGGCTGAGTGTTACTAGCAATCACAGCATTGTAAGAGGGGGACAGTTGAACCCGGAGGCCTCCACCCCTGTTTAACGATGGACGGTTTCTTTTCACAAAGATGGCCTCCTTTACTCCTCTCTCAAACCATCGTTCCTCTCTGTCCAGGAGGTGAACATCTTCATCCCTGAAAGAGTGACCGCTGGCCTGGAGATGAGTGTAGACCGCAGAGTCCTGGCCTGATGATGTTGATCTTCTGTGCTGGTCCATCCTTTTGGCCAGTGGCTGTTTTGTTTCCCCGATGTAAGACTGATCACAGCCCTCCTGACACTGAACAGCATACACAATATTACTCTGTTTGTGCCGGGGGACTGGATCTTTGGGATGAACCAGTCTTTGCCGTAATGTATTTTGGGGTTTTAAAAGCCACTGGGACGTTATGTTTAGAAAATAAACGTCTCAGTTTCTCTGATACTCCCTCAACATATGGAATGACCACTGGTCTGGGTTCCTCCTTTTCACCTGTTGGCTGACTGGAGTCCTGTTT